CTGGACAAGGGAGTGAGATGCCAACTCAAAAAAAAAAGTTGATGGTGTTAGTCTTGGGACTGAGGATGGTCCTGTGTGCTATTGCTGAGTACGGTTACCAAATAAGCTAAATCAACATAACATTAAGACATTCAGCAGATAACATGAATGTTACTTTTGCATGTATCAATTGGATTAGGATAATGATGTGTGTGTAGTCTGAATTGGGAAGACATGTGCTCACATTTCTGGTTCTGTCATTAATCAGCTGTGAGATTCTGAGCAATTTACTTACCACCAAATTTACTTACTTGTAAAATAAGCAAAATAATAACTACCTCATAGGGTCATTGAGAAGATAACATAAGATAATTTATGTGTAGCACTTAGTATATGATGTATAATGTTATGACATTCTTGAGAAATGTTTATTTTTAAAATAAATCATCGAGGAAAGCTTTTTTTGTTGTTGCTTAAGCAAAAAAGAAAATAGAAAGCACTCAGAACCCAGACTTGCAGATATTAAATATTAGCAATGGAGTATATTTCCCTCTAAGAATTTTCCCTTGTAAATTTTCCTCTAGTATTTCTTCTGTTACAGTCACATCATCATATGCAGATATATGAATCAATGTGTATATATGCAGTTATTTCAAATGACTTTAATATATATATTTTGTCAACTGATTGTTTCAATGATGCATTATAAATATTTGTATATACTCTTAAATGTTCCTTTATAAGAGCTACATAGTATTTCATTGTATTATAGTATATTAATTTATCTCTTTAATATGCAACTTTTAGGTAGCTTCCAAGTTGCCATTTTTTCTCTTATAACTGACATAGTGACGAACAACTCTATGGCTAAATACTTTCACATTTATGAAATTATTTCCTTATATATAAATTCAAGAAGTAACATAACAGTTTTTAGTCATAATAAAAAATGAGTGAAAAGCGCACTATATAGTAATCAATGCATAGTAAGTCATCAAAAAATGTTAAGAGTAGGAGATCTATATTTGTGACATAAGAGAAGAAGTTTGGAATAGGCTTGCTAATTATCCTAGATATAATTGTTTATTTAAGAATATTTAGGAGTTCTTGTTTATTTTACAAACATATCATGCAGACAGACAAACAAAACAGTGCAGTCAGTTCATAGCTGTCAGACTTTGTATGTATTTCTGTGAAACTATCTGGCTCTCTGGCTAAAGGAATTATGGAGATCTATATATCTATTTGGCGAGGGTTAGAGGTTCCTTTGGACATCGCTTCGTCTCTTTTCCCCTGCTTGCAGCTGTACCTGCTGCTGGTGAGACACAAGCATGTCCTCCAGCTTGCTCCTCTCACACTGGTTTGGACACCCAGTCTGGGCGCTCTTGGCAGAGCTGTCCCTGTGAGTGCCAGAAATAGAAATATACAGATGGCACGCCATCCATGAAGAAACGGTATTGACCTGTGGGGTCTGTTCCTATCCACAGGCTGAAGTGCTTTTATGAAGAACGGGTGGGCAAAGCACCCATTTCCCAGTTGGTCATTCAACCCCCCGTGCAGTGTCTCTACTGAATGTGTTGAGATACATGGTACAATGCCAGGGCCAGAGAAAAGCAGCTGCAGATATCTGAGATAACGCAGACAATGCAGTAAAATAGGTTGGGTGGAAACTTTATGAACTAGCGACCATATGGTGTGTCCAGGCAGGGTGGCTGCTGCTTACCTCAGTGACAGTGGCCACGTCAGAAGCAGGCCCAGAATTGCTGGAGCCCCCACTGTCACAATGGCTGGAATCCTGAATTTTTCATTCAGGTATTTCAATTTTCAAATGTTATTGGAACATGGAGGAATACATAAAGAGCAATACATACCCATAGTGTATGTGTGCATATATACACACTGCACATACATGTATTCTTTGGAGGAGAGGAAACAGTGTAGGGATAAAGATGGAAGCTAGACTTCTTTGAATATTTTTTGTTTCGTGGATTCATCTTTGGTGCCACATACATAGTTTACATATCTGTAAAACACTATCAGACTTTAAAAAAACAGCCATGAAAACTTGAGAGGAAAAAAAATAAAACAGTTGAACCTCACAGAGTATCATGTTGGTGACATAATTGCACAGAAAGGAATTATTTCGGGTGACTTTGAAACTCAGCAGTTTGCCTGTGCTTTCCTTGTAGGACATACTGTAAGGATTTTTAAAACTGAAAAATATTTACATTGTTATTATTAATCATAATATTAGTATGGTAGTGGCATTGGTCTTCTGAAACTGTTCTGTGTGTATTGTGAGTTAATCAAATGAGTAATAATATTGGTATTATGGAGACTAGGGATCTTTGGTATGGAAGAAAGGTAACAACATTGTAAAATCCATAAGGTCAAATAGAAGTCTTCAGGTCCTAAGTTTGAACTAAGGTTTCATGTAAAATCATGCTTTATTTTACTAAAACACACACACACACACACACACACACACACACACACACACACACACACACAGCTTCTTGCTTTGTCAAAGTCTAATCTAGTATCAATGAACGTCCAAAGCTCCTAGCTTGTGGTTTGTAAATTCCAGTTCCTGCTAAAATGAACCAGATCTTCTTACTGAAAATGGCTGTCTCCAGGCCTGGGGCATGGCTGTGTAAAATAATCCTGTTACATCTTATACCAGAAGCAAGAAAGCCATCAAAGACTACCAGGTCATATTAAAAAGACTGAATCCCCTGACCAAAGGTAGGACAGTTAGAAAATTATGGGAATAACAACTTTATCACAGTGAAACACATGTTCATAGTGATATTTTAGAAATAAAAACCGCATTTGGTTTGGAGGATGTTAGTTAAGCAATTTAATATTTTGAAGAGCAATAAATAAAGTAGAAAAAATCAAGCTCTGGTCAAGTTTCTCTACAAACTGTAATTTGGCGTAAATAAATAGTTGATGAAATGAAATTTGTCTTGATAGAATATTCCAGCTAATAAATTAAAAAATAATAGAATTAGGAAAGAACACATTTAAAACCTCTTGTGAAATCACCGATCCTCTAGACAAAGATTACCAATGACTGATAACCTCATAGCAAAAGATGATGTATGCTTCCTAATAGGAGAATATGTTGTATAGCAGGCAGAAAAAATACCCCCAGCCCAAAGAGGTTCACATCCTAATAGCAGAACTCATAAATATGTTATATCATGTGGAAAAGGGGATTTGAGAGTGCAGGTAGAATTCTAGTTGCTGATCAGATGAACATAAAATGGGGAGATTGGCTGGGCGTGGTGGTTCAAGCCTATAATCCCAGCACTTTGGGAGGCTGAGGTGAGAGCCTGAGTCTACGGGTTCAAGACCAACCTGGGCAACTTGGCAAGATCTCATCTCTACAATAAAAAAAAAAATTAGCCAGGCGTGGTAGCGCACACCTGTAGTTCTGTCTACTTGGAAGGCTGATGCAGAAGGATCACCTGTGCCCAGTGGGTTGACACTGGGGTAGCTGTGAGCATGCTACTGCTTTCTAGCCTGGGTGACAGAGTAGGCCTCTGACTCAAATAAAATTAAACTAAGCAAAATAAATTAAAGTAGAGTAAAAAGTAAAGTAAAATAAAATAAAGCAAAATAAAATAAGGAGTTTATCCTGGATTGTCCAGATGTGCCCAATGAAATTTCTTGAAAACAGAAGGAGGGTGCAGAAGATTCCGTATCAGAGAGTTTAGATGTGGGAAAAATTCTTATCAGCCGTTGTTGACTTTGAAGATGGGAGCAAAGCTGTAAGTCCAGGACCATGAGCAGCCCAGAAGGCAGAGAGAGCAGAAATGGGCTTCCCTTAGAGCTCCCAGAAAGGGTCACAGCCTTTCTGAAACTGTGGTTTTAGCCCGTAGAGTCCTGGGTCAGACTTGTAACATATAGAATTGTAGGAAAATACATTTGTGTTATTTTTAGCTACTAAGTTTGTATTATTTGTTACTGTAACAAAAGAAAACTAATATACCTAGAATATTTCCTAGGTTATATTCTTTCTAAAAAAACTGAGCCTGAATCTGATCAAGGTTCTTGATAAAACTACCAATTTATGGGAACTACAGTGGACAGAGAAACATATATGACATTATGAGAATGTTCAGCAAAATCGAAACCCTTGGAAATTGTGTTTTTAAAATGACATTTTATTTATCAAATAACGTGTAGGTGTGTGTATGTGTATGTATGACAGAGAAACAGACTGATTTTGGAAATTTTAGAAAATGTCTCAACAAGTTGCTATAAGGAATTTAATTCAAATAAGCAAATTATATGTAGAGAAAATACACATTAGTGAAATTTGAACATTGACACTAGAGATTCAAGACTAAGGAATGATTGGTACTTTGGGGCTGTGTGTGTGGTCATGGGATTATGGTTATGTTTGAACAAAAAAAAAGGAGGACATTATAGGTGGCTGTAATAGATAGCAATAGCCATAAATTGGTCATTGTTGAGGGTGAGTGATAGGTACATAGTTGTTTGCTATCTATTCTTTCTACTTCTACATATATTATTCCCATAATAAAATATTAATGAAAATGTTCATGACTAGTTTTCTGAATGTTTTGTGATTCAAACATGCCACGTCCAAAGGTTGGATTTGAAATTTCTGCACAGAATGTTGGCAACAGGATCTTTTGCTTTAACCTGGAAAATTGTCTTTTCTTCTCTTTCCTCTCACCTCCTGCCTCTACCCTTACTGTGCTGCCTAACAGAAAGGGCTTCCTTCATCTGTGCACGTGAATCACCGGGGGGCATTACAGATTGTTTGGAATAGAATTTCCTCAGAATAAGTGAGCAAAATGGGTAATATGCATAATTACATTGAACAATGCCTTCCAGTATTTTATGCGTTTGTTTCCCCCTCCTTATTCCACAGCCTCAAAAAATTTTTAAAAGGCAATAATTTTGCTTCAATTTTTGACAGCCTGAGGTATTTTAAAATTTTGGCTAACTGCATTTCCCCTGTTATCTCTGTTTCTGTTTTTCAGGATGGAATGGGAAATTTGAGGATCACAGAAAAAGGTCTAAAGCTAGAAGGAGACTCAGAATTCTTACAACCTCTCTACGCCAAAGAAATTCAGTCCCGACCAGTAAGTTCCTGCTGAGAGAAGAAGGAATTATTGTTGCTGTGGAATCTAAATCTGGGAAAATATGTCTTGCCATTAGCTGAGTGGAGAGGATTGGCATGGGGAGTGATAGTGGTAGTAAGATGAATTTGCATTCATTCATATCAGAAACTCTGAGTATTATCACAGCGGTGGTGCAAGTGAGATGACCTCTCTGAGCTTCTTTTCTGTCAAATAGAGGGTAGCAACCCCTGCTAACCAGCTCTATAGATTATGCTGCACATAAGTCAAGACAATAAATGTGGAAAAGTACCATACAAATGTGAGATAATGTTGCTGTTGGTTTTAATTACCAAATGCTTCAAAGCTACCTTTGGAAACACCGAACTGAAGAACTAGTTTCATTTTTCATTAAGACTGGATTGTGTAGTCAGTGTTCGTTGGAATTAATTCAGTATTAACAACTATGTTCTAAAATGGTATTTGAACAAATCACTCTTGAGTGTGCACCCTTGTTCCAGGCACATTGTGACTGGGCATGCATTCTCATTATGTAATTTAAATCACAGATTGGTCCACTGGCATGCGGTCTATTGTGGCCTCCATTTTACAGATTAAAGAACTGAGGCAGAGAGAAGTAATATGTCCAAAGCTGCATGCTTATCAAGTAGCCTGGCAAGGATTTCAAGTCTTTTCTGTTAACCCCCATCTCCTACTTAAGCTTATATCTTTCATTCTTTCCTTTTTTGTCATGGAAGTGATACCTACATACTTTGCTTTTATTAACCAAATCAGGATTGTTTTTTGTTTTTAACTTTTTCCTGGTTGGTTAGGTTTTTTGATTTTTTTGAGTTTTTCTTTTTGTCTATTAGTGGGATGATGGAATTTTCTGGTTTAAAAGGATCATTCATGCATTTGTTCTATCTGGGATCAATCCCTGTCCACCTGCAAAGAAGGAATTACAGCCAGGCTCAGTGGCTCAGCCTGTAATCCTGTGCTTTGGGAGGTTGAGGTGAGTGGATTGCCTGAGCCCGCAGGTTCAAGACCCACCTGGGCAACTTGGCGAGACCTCATCTCTACAATAAATCAAAAACTAGCCAGGCATGGTAGCGTATGCCTGTAGTTTTAGCTACTCGGAAGGCTGAGGTGGAAGGATCACCGGAGTCCAGCAAGTCGAGGCTGTGGTGGCCAGGAGCGTGCCACTGCCCTCCAGTCTGGGGTGACAGAGTGAGACTCCAACTCAAAAAAAAAAAAAAAAAAAGAAGAAGAATAACATGCAAGTTCCCCCAAAGCATCATTTGCATTTTGTACATTGATTAGCATAATTTGTGAAATTCAGCAATTTAGTAGTTCTGAAGTGTATTAAGCTGAATGCAACTGCTAAATTGCCAGTAAGTTGACTTCCTCATGTGTCTAGTAAAAATAGGGTGCCAGGATGTTAAAATAATAAAACATAGCAAATCAATTTATCCATGCAATGATGATTTATAATATTTAGCTGGAACCTCTAGCTCATTGGCTTGGGTACTTAAAGTACCAAGAGTATATTATAAATATATTCAGTGTCATTGAGGAACCTATATCCTAAGTAATGAGGTGACCCTGTAATGAGGAGGGTCAGATGATAATTTTGCCTGGGACTGAATAGAGATAGTCAATTTCAAACATTTAAGAAATACCTGCCTTATGTTTTACACTTAATCTATATCTAGTTCTCCCAACCTGGCAAATTCATTACTTAAGATGTACTTTAAAATAATTTTATCCCTATTCAACTTGTTTAACTAGTTCAGTTTCTTCAAATGGTATTGGCATACTTTTTCTGTAAAGTGCCAGAGAGTAAATATTCTAGCCTCTTTTCATCTTTTACAACTCTTTAAAAATGTAAAAAATATTATTAATTTTGAGACCATACAAAAATAGACCACAGGCTGTATTTTGCCAACTCCTGTAATCTATATTAGTGATATTTTCCTAAATATATACATGCTTTGATTAGACTGGATGTGGTACAGGGAATAGACGCCAAGATCACGAGTAGAAAAGTTAATATGTGTTAATTAAAACATCCATTGCTGGGCACAGTGGCTCAAACCTGTAATCCCAGCACTTTGAGAGGAAGAAGTGAGAAGATTGCCTGAGCCCAGGGTTCAAGACCAGCCTGTGTAACTTGGTGAGACCTCGTGTCTACAATATATCAAAAAATTAGCCAGGTGTGGTAGCGCACCTGTACTTCTGGCTGCTTGGAAGATTGAGGCAGAAGGATCGCCGAAGCCCAGTGGGTCGATGCTGGGGTGGTCATGAGCATGCCACTGCACTCCAGCCTGGGCAACAGAGTTGCTAACCCCCCCCAAAAAAAAAAAAAATCCTGAAATAAGTTTTCTAGTTTAGATTAGAATCATAGAAAGGAATTGAGAAATGTGCCTTGGAGGACGTAAAACAGGATACCTGAGACATCTTTTGGGTTCATATACAGAAACTGAACATTTACCAAATATATTAGCCCACCTATCTAATAATTGACAGGCAGCTGGTTCCAGCTCAGAGATGTACTTGACTGTAAGCTTAAAAAGTAATGATAATTTTAAAAAACTGACTTTAATATTGAAAAATCTTAAAGTTAATGCTTTTAAATCACTCTCTGAACAAAATTAAAAGCATTCAAATTCATCATTTTTTATTGTTCTTCCAAAAATAAGTAGTTAATAAATAAAGCTTTGTAGCCTTATATTATTCAGATAAGAAAATGAATGTCTTCTAACTGAAGGGGAAAAAGAGACACTGGTATATATATATGTACATAATAAAATCCATCAGGCATGTGAGCTCTGCCAGAAGTCTGTACCCAAATCCAACCACTCTTCCCCATCTCGTTCTACACGGTAGGTCAAGCCACCATACTTTCTCACCCTGCAGTAGCCTCTTCTCTGTCTGCTGCCTTTCGCTCTTAGCCTTATTATACAATTTGTAGCCAAAGTAATCTTCAGAATGTCAAATCACTCTATATCTTTGCAAAGTATTCTCTATTGATTTCCTATTGCATCTGGAATAACATCAAAATCCTCACTAAGACCTGTAAAAATTTACCAGATGTTTGTACAGAGGGCTCCTTCTGGTCAACCTTTGTATTGGCTCAGATGTCACCTATTTAGAAGACCTCCTTCATCTAGTCAATCCATTGAGCACAGAAGTCACACATCAACAGCATACTAATTTTTCTCTCTTATAATTTATTATTTCACATTCTTTTTTTTTTTTTTTTTTGAGTTGGAGTCTCACTCTGTCACCCAGACTGGAGTGCAGTGGCTGCTCCCAGCCACTGCAGCCTCGACCTGCTGGGCTCTGGCAATCCTTCCACCTCAGCCTTCCGAGTAGCCGGAATTACAGGCATGCGCTACCACGCCCGGCTGATTTTTTGATTTATTGTA